TCTATATATATATATATATATATTACTGAACTCACATTCGTGAGAACGAGAGTTCGCATCCAGTCGGCCTAAAACTCCCCGTGTAGTAAATGGTGACTGTGCAGGATAAATCTGTCGGGTCTTAAAGTCCTCCATGTTCCTAAAACAAATTATACCTCTAGGGATACTAAATTGGAGATTGATCGTTCTCTGGTTCAGGCCAAAATTACGATCTGTGGATGAATGAATGGGCACGCCCTATAAACAGGTGTGACTTATGGATGTGGCGGAAGTCGAATTTTTGGCCATAGATGGCGCCACTGGAAAACAAGAACAATAGTACCCCATCTTCTTTAATGGCCGACGACAGCAACAACAACAACAGAAGAAGATAACCTATAACCCCCCTCGAACATACATTGAAACTTCGCCACTGCTTGTTCGTTATGAATATTTCATTCTTCTCGTTAACAAACTTGATTAAAGTGGATTTCTTTAAAGTTTCCGCTTTTTTCCGTCTTGATATTGCATAAAATTTCAGTCCTGCTGAAGATATATGCATAAAGTACATACCCTAGTCTTTTTCCTTTTGTTTGTTTTCTCTTTCATTATTGTATCAAACACAGTTTATAGCATCGTTTAATTTCTTACCAGGCATACAAGGTAACCTATCTGATTCATGTGTTATAATTCTTGTTAATTTCAAAAATGCTTTGTATCATATTAAGATGAATGAATATAAACATTTTTCGATATGTAAATATAACTTGATATTGCAAATAAGTATAAATCGCATTGGATGTTGAACTTAACATAAAAACTTAGGTAACTAAATCAATAGATAGCTAATGATAGATATTTTATTTTATAACCGTCGTTGAACAGCCGACCCAATTTCCGGATTTACGACTACTTATATTCAACTACGTAGCCTTGTTATTTTTATACCCAATCCAGAAGAAAAGGAAACTCCTGGATCAAGTATTGGGAGAAATTTGCCTTCGTGGTGAACTTTTTGACGGAGCTAATCTGCATTTGCGAAGTATGGAGAGGAAGACCACGAGAACCTCCCACTGTTAGCCTGACGGCAAGGGGACCCTAACCCATGATTCGTCTACCACTGAGGATACTTCAAGTCAGCATTGTGGTCGGTGCAAACCAGATTCGGAATTCGTATCGATCAACCATCGCCGAGATTCGAACTCGATTCACCTTATTGGAAGGCGAACGTTCTATCCCCTGAGCCATTGCGGCTCAAATAAGAGATATTAAGAAAAAAAAATTTGACTGTAAGAAAAGTATGACTGCCAGTGGCCCCCATCCCCCCCAAGCTTTTGGGCGCATTCATCCTCCCCCCCCCAAAAAAAATTTGCTAACTTCCCCCTTCCATGTTAGCTTGTTCGAAATAGTGCTACTTTGCTTGCTCATAATATGACAATGCCTCTTTTATTTATGTACTTAAAAAAAAGAAAATTCTCCTGTCTAAGTTCCGTCCCAAACTATTCGTTTTATTTAGTGTAAAAATTCCCCCTCAAACCTTAAGTGGGCGCATCGTGCGCCAACCTTCCCCCGTGATGGGGTCCCTGATGACTGCTAATATCAACTTTAACCCTTCCCCAGGTTCACACGTTCCGAAGATAAAGGTACTAAAGAGTACCGAATTGATATCATGAATTGATATTGAATCTTGGACCGCTAGAGTCAGAAAGACCCGTGTCATTTATGATACCGTGAACAGAGAATCTCACGTACTTCATGAACCTGAAGCTGTTAAACAAAGAAAAGATTAACAATTATGCCACTGAGGAACGATGTTATATTTCCTATAAACGGTTGAATCTTGAATTAGAGATAAATCAGATTATTATTGGGAGTACAAATAAGTTTCCGGCTTTTGTTTGTACGAAAAAACGGTACATTATCTTTTATTCTAAGTATTTTCCATTACTTGTCACTATTTTTTCTTATCTTTATGGGGCATTCGGATGCACATTATCTTTTATTCAAAGTATTTTCCATTTACTTGTCACTATTTTTTCCTATCTTTATGGGGGCATTCGGATGCACATTATCTTTTATTCAAAGTATTTTCCATTACTTGTCACTATTTTTTCCTATCTTTATGGGGACATTCGGATGTCAGCTCGGAAGAACTCTTTCGAGGATATCCATGAATCGACCCATTCCTTGGTTTCTTCAAATGACGCAAGTTTCTGCTCAGACAGACCATGGTGCCATCGACCGTAATAGGTGATAATCTAAAGGGACAAGGTCCGGCGAATACGGCGGATGGGGAAGGATTTCTCATTGAAGTGTTTCCACATAGCAAAATCAATCGACGTTCAATGTCTCTTGGTTTCAGTTCTTATGGAACCCACCAATCTTGTTTGTTCCCAACGGTTTTAAACTATGTGAAATTGCTTGTTGAGTCACTTGTAATTTAAAAGGAGGTTCTTTTTGCGTTTGGGGCAAATCTATTTCCAATAATTCTTCAAACTCCACGCGTTCGTACAATTTCTGCCTTCCACTGCGTTCTTTGTCTTCCACGTCAAACTCACCTTTTTTAAATCTCTCATGACAACTTCTCTCACTTATCATACTCTTCTCCAAGCAATCGATGCACCTCAGCTGCAGATTTCTTCTAATTAAAGAAGTCAAAATATTCCCGCAAATGACGCTTATTTGGCACAAAACTTGACATTTCTGCACGAAAACAATTACGTAATGCATGCTAATACGGAATCACTAATGGATGGGTGATCGTGTAAAGCTAAGGGTGGTGGCGCTGGTAGTAAAATTGCTCTTTCAAGACTACCGGGTTACAGCTTCCGATATATTTTTACGCCGCAGATTGAAAAAACGCGCAACCATATTATTGCATCATATCTTTTGCAGTATTTCACATGTACCGGGTTCTTCCTTTCAGCCTTTAAACTTCAGCATTAACATATTAATATTATAATCATTAGAATATTTTCTAATTAGTCTAACTTAAAAAGATATTTTTGGCGACATTTTATTCAAATGTAGCCAAATCAGGGATAAAATACAAAACATGGCAAACCTTAAGAAATATTCACAATGAGATATTAACTTTCCAAAATTTTTTTTGGCCTTACGACCTCTGAGAATCAATACATTTCTGAAAGCTCTTATGAATGGTACAATTATGTTTAGATTTGAGCCCAAATTACAATAACAAAACTGCATAGAATATTAGGC